ATAAAAGCTATTGTTGGAATGTGGTATCATCAAAATGCACTGGCGTTTCTATACATTAGAAGTTGTTAATCTAAATAATTTTTACCAATAATTATTCTATGAATACGCCACGAATTAATTTCATGAATTATCCTAATTTTGATTGGCTCATAAAGGAATTTACCGATGTTTGACTGCCTCGACTGCACTTTTCTGCCTTTTTGTTGGTCAAGCTTGATTTCACAAAATTCATTTATTTCAGTTAGCTATGAAATATGAAGTTAGGGTATACTGTGGAGTGGGGTGGTAGTACTTGCCCTGTCCTTTTTAATGGGCTAATTGCTAGGATATATATATATATGTGTGTGTGTGTGTGTATGCATGATAAAACAGTCATTCAGAATATACATGTTATGTTGACTGATGTTGATTGGAATATCAGCATAAGTTATTGTAATCTTCTTACTTTAATGGACATAGCATGTATGTCAGTATCTATGTGTGTAACCAAAACTCCTGCACCATCTAATGAAAGGCACCACAAACAAAATTCCATAAAACATTTCACACTTTGGGTATTCAAGATTCAGACAATTAGAAAAATAACTGTGGTATGTGCAAGAATCATTTCTTTATAATAGAACAGAATTTTAAATAAAAGTACTCTCCTAACAACAAGAACATGGCTTTCACTAGGACTGTACTTGAAAGTTGGATTGTATCTTTATTGATGTAATTTTTGAATATAGTACTGAGAAACAACAAAAAATCAAACAAAATCATCAAAAAAATATTAGGAAAGTAAAATGTTTTTTACATTAAAGTTTACATTTAATGTACTATAAAGGTCTTAGTTTTCTGATATTGATTTTATTTTACACTGTATTTACTCAATTAGTTTAGGTTACATCTTCTAGATACTGTAGCTTTTAAAGTACTAAGATTTGCTATCTAAAAATAATATAATAACCACAGGGCCAGTTATCTGTGGAACATTTTGAAATGATTGGATGCTGCAGTAAAAGAAAAGTTGTGAGATTTATTTTTTTCTGATTTTCAAGCCCAAGGTGGTTACTGAAATAGATGAAGTGGAGTTAGCTAAACAGCTTGAAAGATTAGAAATGGCTAATGCTGAGGTAGCAGGTGATGATGATGATGATGAAACTGCAGAAGCTGGAAGTGAAGATGATGAAGGAGAAGAGCAACCATAGGGTGAATTTATTTTAAAACTCTGAAGCTGGTAACTAAACTGTTTGAATAGTAGAGGTCCTGTGCTAAGATGAATTTAAAACATGTCTCATTTATCTTATTTCTACATTATCAAAATTGTGTAATGCTTTGCAGAAAAATTGACATATAAATTACTATTTCTGGCTGTGTTAATATTATATGATGTAAATAAATTAAAATTAAATTGGGTTATCTTCAATTATAAGAATGTTATTGATAAAGAATTCATCAATAATCTTGCTGTCTGTACTTGCCCATCATGTTTAATTAAAATCTGTTTTGTCTTATACTTATGAGAGATACACGATTTATGTAGCATGTTTTTGTGTAAGGCTTAGATTTTTTTATTAATTTTTTTTTACTTAAAATGTAAAATTTTCTCATTCTAATAGGTTTGTATGTTGTATCTTTGGCCATAAAAGCATGACAACTGGTGTGCATTCTTGCCTGGAGGGGATTAATTTGCTGTATAATTGTCCCCAATCACTCTTAAATTACTTAAGAAACTTACAAGCATATTCTTCCAACCATACCTTCGGTATTTTGTGAGGATTTCTCAGATAAAAAGTTTCATTGATAACCATTGTGATTATATATGAAAGCATGAAGAACATATAGTGTGGTAAACATAAAAAGATGTGATGGAATTTTAAACTTTACTGAAGTAATATTCATGCCACAATTCATGTACAAAACAAATGTACAATTTGTACCTAAATGAAGGTTCCCAAATTATACTCTTTTTTTTTCTTTCTTTTTTTTATGAAAGAATATTATTGGTTGAGAGATTAGAAGTACATGACATGTGTGATACAGATAGAAAAAAGTGAGTATTCAAATACATAAAAAGATGTCTGTTTTCATCTCACCAGCAAAAAAAAAAAAAAATGATAATAATTAGTGGTTATTTTTATATTCCTCCAAACTGTTAAAGGGAATTTTTAATCATTATTAAAGTGGTGTTCATTTATTTTTTCAAACAAAGAGTTATGTTTAATGTTGTTTTTTGCAGAATTTTTCCTGAAATATCTTTTGTAAACTTTTTTGGTAGTTCTAAATGTTTTGTGTTTTGAAGTGCATAGCTTTTGTCTAATCTTTTTTTTTTTTGATAAGTTATGAACAATGTATTTTCAATAGCAAGCTAAATCAGTGGAAAATGATTCCTTCACAATGTATGAGAAATATAGCTTGTACATTTCAAAATGATACATACATGTTTGAGTATTCTTATAAACTTTTATCATCACTTCTCTTCTTTTTTTTGTGCATGTAGAAAAAACAGAGCTCAACCTTTTCTCTTATTATCTAAACCAACAAATAGGTGAGGATTTGATATTTTTGTCTTTTGATATGATGTGGCATTGTGTAAAATCAACTTTTCACCACTGCTTACCTGATATGTAAAGGTTGTGTTCATTGTTATTATTTAGTTTGTTTTTCATCAAAAGGTTCTTGACTGATAAGTTTAATTATGTAGATCTCTGATATAATAAATGTTATAAAAATGTGGCAAACCAGGAGGTTTCTATTATGACTAAAAATCTACACAGTAGACCTAGGACGAAAATTAGCTGGCAAGTGAAACTTGTCATTTCTGTTGTATTGTATGATCCATCGTATACAACATCAAAATCTGTATTTTTACTTAAACATGTGGCAGTGCTAGAAATTAATCATTGGCCTCAATCACAAACTAAAATAGATGTCAGCTACAATATATATAGAAAGGTCAGGTGGAATGTTTTTGATTTTTACAGTCTGTGAGGAACTAATAATAACTCATTTTTTGTCACTATGACTTATATTATAATAAAAATGAAGATAAACTACTTGTTTCTCACTATAGTATATAGTGTACTTTGTTTTTTTTGTTAATGGTAGAGTACTTTGATATTGTTTAGAAACACTAGAAAAAACATTTACAAAAATTTCTGTTTTCCATTTTTATATTGATATAGTTAATTTTGAAACTCTACAGAACATTTGATCGTATACATGGATATGTATGTATGAATGAACATATTAACTTCATGTTGTAGTTGTGACTGATTCTGATGTGTAAGAATACAATAGTAGTATGGAAAAGGGGAGTTTTACTTGCATTGCAGCTAATAGTAGGCTAGGAATGATGTATAAAAGAAAATTTTGAAGGAAAATTAAATGGTCTACAAATAGAATAGGATAAAGAGTATGAAGAAGTGTTAGAAGACTGTTTATTAGAATGAAATAAAAGTAATAAACATGATTAAAATTAAGAACAATGTAAAAATTAATAAAGTAAATAGAAGTAGAATAGAAACAAAATTAACTAAAGTGATTGAAAACGATATATTTTTTATCTGTTAGATAATTAATCAAATATCACCGACTCCAGAATTAAGGTTAACTCTTACAGGGATAAACAGTATTCAAAGAGGCAGTCAAACAGGTCTATTTCACTTCCTTATCTGTTTTAGGTCTTAAACCCAATTTTGACACCTTAGAGAATTATAATCCTATATAAGATGGGCAAGTTGGTTGAAACACCCTTGAAGTGTCATTTTATTTTGTTCAACATTCTGATCATTATATATTTTTTACAAGGTGTGAGGTAAACTGTGTTGAAATGTGCAAGTAATATCTTTAGTAAATTTAAAGTATTTTTGAGGATTTTTGTCAGAAAAAAGTTTTGGTAGTTTCATGAACTTAAATGTCTGACAATGTGCTTTATTACAAGGATGAGAATTATTTTGTGGGGGAGTGTAAGTAACTTGAAAATGAAGTTGGATATCTTGAAGGTTTTTTTCACAATGGGAATTCCAAGAAAATTTTACTTTAAACTGTCTTTGAGGTAAATTGATGTTTTTGTTTTGTTTTGAAGACATGAGATGCTCTTGAGTGTTACAGTGGCAAATGAGAACAAGCAAAATACTGCTTGATTATTTAGTGTTGGAGTAGTTTTGTATAGTTAGCTTTATCAATTATGTAGGCTGGGTATGGCCAAGTGATTAGTATGTCGAGACTGTGAATCTGATGATTCTTGTTTTGTATCCAGTTGGTCTGCAAAATTTGAGGCTGAGGATGTTTTGCAAGAGTGATTGGTCAAATCCCATTATTAAGTTAGACAATTTTAAGAACTTATTTCTCAACCATGTTACATCTGCCATATTCAATGCAGATGAGGCCTTTCACCCAGTAAAAAAAAAAAACTCATCAGTTTGGCTGCAATATTACAGACATAGTACTTGTTAGAACACTATATCATCATTTTCATGAACAACAAATGTTATGATGTGAATTAGATTAAGTAAGTGAATTGTAATTATTATCAATTTTATTTAAATTAATTTATGAAACAGAATTTAAGTATGGATTAATAACACAATATTATTTATTCATTTTTAACAACAGTTATTTATTACTATTTTATTTAAATTAACTTTTACTATCACTCTGAACAAATGGTGAACCATCAAGCTAGTCTTCTTGCTCTTGGAATGAATCAAGCAACCACAAAATCAATAAGAGAAAACTACCTTAATAATTTTAAGAACTTGTGAGTGAAAGCAAAGAAGAATGTGTAATGAATTAACCACACTACAAAATTTCTGTAGACTCAAATCATATATTTGTTTTTAAGAAACAAATTATGCATAGTTTTGTTCAGTAGAGCCAATGTATAATGTCAAAATATATTGTTACGTCTCCGTTTGTTAATCAACTTTCCGTAACTTCGTTCCGACGAAACTTTAACGACACAAGTCTTTACTTAATAAAACTGGTTTATTCTTTCCGAATATAACTTTACGATACACTTAATTTCAATATTCGCGCTAAAACAAACACTATAACAACGAACGTCAACAATACTTCTGACTGCAGTTCAATTACTCACTATCTACACACATATTATTGTCCCGTCACGTTGTCACCCTCTTATATATACCAGCCTACCCTATCTAGTAAATACTAGAGCATT